TGCCCAACTCATGTTCAGAGACACGAGTGAGGCAGATAGGTGGGTTGACGGCGGAAGGAGACCTAGCCTTTTCCAGTTGTCCAACAGGGGTTTGAGGTTCTTTCAGCTTGCTTGTTGCAAGTAGGGGCTGAAGGGGGAAGGAGCTAACTGATCATGGCAATGGTACAGGAAACCATTCAAGTAGAGGAAGCAATTAGGCATATTTTGGTGGATGGGAACAGTATTGTGAGGGGGATTGATATCCATCTCTGCAGTGAAGACAGTTGAGAAAACTGTGTTATATTCCTGGTGCCAGAGTTCATGATGCCTTGATTGATTTTGATTTGATTTGACTTATTATTGTCACATACCAAGATAAAGCAAAATGTATTGTTTTGCAAGCTACCCAGACAAATCATGCCTTACATAAGTACATCAGGGTAATAGAACAGAATGCAGAATATAGTGTTACAGTTACAAAGGAGCTGCAGAGAAAGATCAACTCTAATATATGAGGTCCCTTCATAAGTCTAATAACAGCGGGGAAGAAACTGTTCTTGAATCTGTTGGTATGTGTTTTCAAAGTTTTGTATCTTCTGTCCAATGGCAAAGAGTGGAAGAGATTATAACCGTGGTGGGAGGAGTCTTTGATTACATTGGCTGCTTTCCCGAGGCAACAGGAAGTATAGACAGAGTCAGTGGAAGGAAGAGAGATAACAAGGTGTAGAGCTGGATGAACACAGCAGGCCAAGCAGCATCATGGGAGCAGGAAGGCTGACGTTTCAGGCCTAGACCCTTCATCAGAAATCTGATACAGTGGAAGGGAGGCTGGTTTTCATGATGGACTGGGCTATATTTGCAACTCTCTGTAGTTTCTTGTGGTTTTGGGCAGAGGGGTTGCCATACAAAGCTGTGATGCCTCTGGAAAGGATACTTTTTATGGTGCATCTATAAAAATTGATAAGTGTCCTTGTGGACGTGCCAAGTTTCCTTAGCCTTCAGAGGAAGTAGAGGCGTCTGTGTGCTTTCTTAACGGTAGCATGGACATGGATGGACCAGGATAGATTGTTGGTGATATTTACTCCTAGATACTCGAAGCTCTTGCCCACCTCCACCTCAGCGCGATGGATACAGATAGGGGCATGTCCTCCACTCCACTTCCTGAAGTCAATGACCATCCCCATCATTTTGCCTACATTAAGGGAGAGATTATTGTCTTTACACCATGCCACTAAGCTCTCTATCTCCTTCCTGTACCCTGTCTCATCATTGTTTGAGATTGACCCACTATGGTGGTGTCATCAGCAAATTTATAAACGGAGTGAGAGCTGAATCTATCCACACAGTTGTGCATATATAATGAGTATAGTCAGGGACTGAGTACTCTGTCTTGCAGGGCACCGGGTTGACGAATATTGTGGAGGAGATGATGTCGCCTATTCCTATCGATTGCGGTCTGCGGGTCAGTTGCAGAGAGGGGAGCAGAGTCCTAGGTCTCAGAGTTCGCTGACAGCTGGAGAGGAATTTACAGTGGAAGAGGGAGGATCCTGTTATCACGGTTCATATAGGTACCAACAACATAGGCAAGGTAATGAAAGACGTTCTGCATAGTCAGTATGAGGACATACGCACCAAATTAAGAAGCAGGACCTCAGGTCAACAGTACATTATCTCCTAAGACACATGCAAATTAGCATTGGGCAAATAAGACGAATGCATGGCTCAAAGGCTGGTGTGCTATAAGTTGTTTCCAATCTGTGGGCACTGGCACCACTACTGGAGCAAATAGGAGGTGTACTGTTTGGATGGTTTATAGCTGAACCATTTCCTGGAGGCCTGGTTTTCAACCACCAATGCAATTAACAAATATGTTGAAATAGACCCCACCTACATACCACTACGGTACAAAACCGGAAACAAGACTGCCTACCATGATAGACCGGACCATATAAATTCAGAGCGGGACAGAACAACAGTGCTTCAACGGAGGCTACATAGCGCTGACAATGTCACCTAGAAGGGAGATGAAACGTTTGCATGAAAACCAGTCAGCTCGGTGAACCAACCAGTAACTCCAACCGCAACCCGAGCTACAGATCTTCATTAAAACATTAAGCTGAATCATGCTGAGACCAGTGTTATGGGAAGCCACATTACTGGGGGAGCAGAGAGGGTTATAAACTAAATAGGGGGCAAGGAAATAAATTTGGGAATGAAAGCAAGAAACTGCAGATCCAGGAGATCTGACATAAAGACGGAAAGTGCTGGATAAATTCAGCATGTCTGGGGGCACCTGTGAATTTGAGGTAAGGAGCAGGAAGTTTTAAGATGATTTAAGGGAGAATATTTTCACTCAGACAGTGGTGGATATCTAGAAGTCGCTGGCTGAAAGGATGGCAGAGGCAGCAACCATTACAAAAATTAAGAAGTATTTAAATAAATACTAAAAATGATATGGCTTGCGAGGCTATGGGCCAAATGCTGGAAAATGGGACTCGAGTAGATAGGTTTGATAATTGGCATGGACATGATGGGCCAAAGAGCCTTATTCTGTGCTGTACAACTGTACGATTCTATCAGTGTAAATTTCATAACGCAGTTATAAAAGGAGACTTTAATTATCCATATGTCGGCTGGGATGGTGTCAGATTAAGGAACAAGCATTCTAGATTGTGTTCAGGAGAATTTCTCACATCAGTATGTATCCAGTCCAAAAGGAAAAGGGGCGCTGCTGAACTGTACTTGAGAATGAGGTGGGCCAAGTAAATCAAGGGACAGTGGGGAAGTATTTGGTTGATATGGATCAATGCATCACCAAGTTTAGGATGACAGTAAAAAGTCAGATTGGGATAAATTCAGATTAAGAGTAATCGACTAGTGGAGACTGGGCTTCAACAGGCCAAGGATTGGGCCAGATAGACAGAAACCAAAGGCTGGTGGGAAAAACAGTAGCTGAACAATGGGTTACCATCAAAAAGGAAATGGTTTGGGAACAGCCAACATATATTGTAAGGAATAACCGAAAGAACTGCAGATCCTATAAATCAGGAACAAAAACAGAAATTGCTGGAAAAGCTCAGCAGGTCTGGCAGCATCTGTGAAGAGAAATCAGAGTTAACGTTTCAGGTCCGGTGACCCTTCCTCAAAACAGGAGGAAGTTCTGAGGAAGGGTCACCAGACCCGAAACAATATCTCTAATTTTCTCTTCACAGATGCTGCCAGATATATTGCAGGTAAACGGGATTAGTATAGTTTTGGTGTTTGTTGGTTGGCATAAACTTGGTGGGTTGAAGGGCTTGCTGTGTGACTCTGCATTCCTTCAGGGGGAAAGATAGGACAAAGAAATCTTGAGCTCCATGGAGAATGAAGCAGATTGAAATTAAGTTAAAGAAAAAATATTCTTAGCACAGGCGTCAGGTAGGAAACCCAACTGAGAACGAAACTGACTATATAAACATTCACAAGGGAGGGGAAGCAAAGACAGATTATGAAAAACAACAACAGCTAACATGAAAGGTTATCCCAAAGTCTTTTAGTAAATAGGGTGGTAGAAGGAGGAGTAGCTCCAATTAGGGACTAACGAGCGGATTTTCACTTAGAGGCAAGAGGCAGGTTTGAAGTGTAAACTACTTTTTCTGTGAGGCTAATGTGACAGAGGAGAAAATTCATTCACCACAAGGGTTTAAAATTGATAAGGAGGAGATTTTGGATAAACTACCTGTTGTCAAAATTCATAAGGCACTGGGACTGAATGAGATTCCCCCCCCAAGGATAATACAATCCAAGGTTGAGAGTGGAAATTGCAGAGACACTGCCAATTATCTTCCCTGAATTCATGGGTGGTACTGGAGGTATGGAGAATTGCAAATATTGTACCCATGTTTATTAACAGTTGTGAAGATTGGCTCAGTAATTACAGACCAGTCTGCTTGACTTCCAAAAACAATTATTCAGAATAGTAGCCATGTGGGATAATTTGGATTGATTCAGAAGAGCCAGCATGGATTTATTAAGGGAAAATCACGTTCAACTAACTTGCTCAAGTTTCTGAAGAGAAACATCAACAGTTGGCTCGGACTGGTTTAGCTGTGGATGAAAGATGGGATGATGTCGACGTGGAAGTAGAATGTTTATAGTTTGGTAAAAATCACTTTGCAGAAGAAAATGGTGACCTAGGTAGAGTTTTTTTTTAATTATACTTTATTCATAAATTATTTACAAGTAAATACAACAAGTCCATACAATCCCTTACAGAATTTTCCGAGGAATTTTGACATTCCTCATTGGAGCTTCAATCCAGTTGCAACAAAATTCTATTTTCTAATCATGAAAGGAAACTATTTGCACTTCCATTAAGGCTATGAGGGTATCCTGAAATGTAACAGGCCCTCATTATATTTTTGCTGAAAGACCTTAGACGATTGTCTTTTCCCATTGTGTCTTGGCAGTAGTTACTCCAAACTTTAGTGCGTCCCTCACCACGTAATCCTGGACCTTGGAATGTACCAGTTTGCCACACTCGGTCGAGGTTAATTCTTCGCACTGGAAGATCGAAAGTTTTCTTGCAAATCAAAGAGTACCTTTCATTGAGTTGGTGGCCCTCCAGGCACAGTCAAAGTAGAGATGTACCAAGAACTGATAGGATGGCAGTCAGGGATAGTAGGAACTGCAGATGCTGGAGAATCCCTGCACCAGGATGGCAGTCAGGACCCAGTTTATGGGTAAAAATGATCTTCTCCTGCTCCTTATGTTCTCAAGATAATAAAATGGAACAAAACCAGGTAATATCCCTGTTCCCTCTGAAAGGAATGGGTTATTATCCAACAGCTCCACATCCCCCCTTACCCAACCACTCGAATATCCCCATGGGAGGTAGGATTAGGGTGGGACTATGATCACAGACTAACTGCAAAGTCTATTTTCAGGATTGTGAATCTATGCGACCTTACCATTACTGATCTCCATATACTCCATCCATGGTAAGAGCTCCGCCGAGCTCCGCTAGGGGGCCTCTCCCTGCAGTTCGCCTCAGCTCTGTCAGGTGGAAACTCCGCCAGGGGGCCTGTCCCTGCAGTTACGCTCAGCTCCGGCCGGTGGACCCCCTTTCCCTCAGCTCCGCCAGAGGGCCTGTCCTTGCAGTTCTCCTCAGCTCCGTCAGGTGGACCCCTCTCTCTCCCTCTCGCCAGGGTTGGTGTCATGGCGGCGGCGAAGAGCAGCGCTGACCTGGTGTCCGAATTCCTGCAGCAGAATCGGCGGCTGGCGGACTGGGTGGAGACGGTGAAGGGCCACCATGAGCCCGAGAATCACTGGAGGGCCCGCCGTGAATTCATCCTCCACAACCTGAAGGCGGAGCAGAAGGCGAGCGGGGCCGAGCCGGAGCCGGGGCTTGGTACAGACCAACTGCTGGCCCTCTCCATGGTCTGGGCCAACCATGTCTTCCTGGGATGTCGGTGAGTAGGGGGGCGCATGTAAGGTGGGGTGAGGTGGGCGGAGTGACTGGGGGG